CGATCTCTGGCGATGGCGGCCCTCGCGGTGAGCTTTCTGACGCACCCCTGGCGGTGAATTTCCGAGCTCCTTGGGCGAGCTCGCCCAGCGCTCCGATCCAGGAGGTTGTCGGGAGTGTCTTGGGGGGGCGGGGGTTTCGGAGGCTTCGGAGGAGCTCTCGGCGAGCTCGCCCAGATCTCGGAGGCTTCTCGGAGGTCTTCAGACGGAAGAGAAGGCGGAGGAGGAGGAGGAGGAGGAGGAGGAGGAGGAGGAGGAGGAGGGAGGAGGAGGAGGAGAGGAGAGGGACGATGAGGAGGAGGAGGAGGAAGGAGGAGGAGGCGTAGGAAAGGAGGAGGAGGGGAGGAGGGAGGAGGAGGAGGAGGAGGAGGAGGAGGAGGAGGAGGAGAAGGAAGGGTTTTCGCGCGCGGGTTCTGTTTTTCAAGGCTCGCCGCCGTCCTGCGTGGCGTCGTGTAGGTACCTGGACCGCTCATGGGGTGGGCGGTCCTCCCCAGAACGGTTTGTTCGTCCTCCTCCAATTCCTCTACCTCCTCCTCATCCTCCTCGTCCGCCTCCTCAAACTCCTCCAACTCCAACTCCCCCTCTTCCATACATCCTCCTCCCCTCCTCCTCCTCCTCCTCTCCTCCCCTCCCCTCCTCCTCCTCCTCCTCCTCCTCCCCTCCTCCCCTCCTCCTCCTCCTCCTCCTCCTCCTCCTCCCCTCGTAACTCCTCCAACGCCTCTTCCTCCAAACTCCTCCAACTGCAACCATCCTCATCGCCTTCTCTCAATCCTCCCCCTCTCCCTCCCTCCTCCTACCTTCCTCCTCCTCATCACACCTCCCTCCTCCTCCTCCTGCTCCCCATCCTCCTCCTCCTCCTCCTCCTCCTCCTCCTCCTCCTCCTCCTCCTCCTCCTCCCTCCTCCTCCTCCTTATCCTCATTCTCCGCCCCGCCGGGGTCCTCCTCCTCCTTTTACAACTTGGACTCGAGGCGTTTGATCCGGACCGAGTTGGGGGTCTTCTTAGCACGCTCCTCCTGGATTTCGTCCAACACCGACCTGAGTTCGGCCTTCGAGTCCTCAGGCAATGCACTTTTCTTGCCTGCGAGGTGGGATAGAAGCCGAGAGCCTTCCCTTTGCCTTTCCCTTCTGGAGGGCCGCGTGTGGGAATAGCCAACGTTGCCGTATTATTTGCCGTAGGATTGCCAAAACCTGGGACACCTCTGAGGCTCCTTGACCTTTCCCGCCTCCTCTTGGGGACCTCTTGCCGCCTTTACCACCTTTGCCACCTGCGCCTTCCTCCCTTCCCGTATCCGCTCTTGCCTCCTCCGTTGTCCTTGCCGTACGACCCCCACCCCTTGCCCCAGAACTTCGACTGCTGCTGCTGGGAGGGGACCGAGAAGGACGATGGGCAGGGACGAGCGATTAGAGCATTCCCACGCACCTGCAGGCCGTGGGTAGACAGGTACTTGGGCCAGTAGAGAGGATGCCCACAATGGTAGCAAGAATGGTAATACCAAGGATTCTTCCTAAGGCCACAATTCGTGCAGACGAGACTCGTGGTGTCCGCATACGGCATAGCTTGATGCTCCAAGGAGCGCACGCAGGGCCAGGCAATGAAGCCTGACTAATCGCTTGGGAGTTGTAGGGCGCCCTCCCCGAAATGCCGAAATGCGTCCAGGCACCCCCTTGAGGCGCGGGGGTCCCACACACGGCGATATCTTCAGCCAAAGTGGTTTGAGCCAAAATGGCTACGGGTTCTCTCTCCTCCTCCTCCTCCTCCTCCTCCTCCTCCTCCTCCTCCTCCTCCTCCTCCGACGACGACGACGACGACGACGACGACGACGACGACGACGACCGACGACCGACGACGACGACCGACGACGACGACGACGACGACGACGACGAATACGAATACGAGGGTTGCAGGCGCTGTCCGATCGCGGCGGTGCTGGATGCCTTCGCCGCTCTCTTTGGGGGGTGCTCGGGGGTGGGACGGCGGCTGGAGCTCTGCACCGCGAGCGGCAGCGACTGCGACACGCGAGCCCCCCCGGCAGCGCGGCGCCGCACACCCGTGCACGGTGTCATCCTCACCCCCCTGGAGGCCAGGCAAGCCTCGTTCAGGCCTGGCAGGTGACCTTCAGGGCGTCCCTGCCCAGGACCCCACAAATTGCCCCAACAGGGACAGGCTCGCCCCACCCTCTGCCTGCCACCTCGCCTGTCCAGCCGCTGCCCCGCCAACTGTTCGGGAGCTTCCTGTGCCCACGTTTCCCGCCCCACCGCAGCGCACCAGGAAGTCGCCGGGGCGCAGAGGAAACACACGACAACGTTACAGCGTCTGGAGCGCCAGGTCTCGGAGCAACGCGACATGGTTGACGAGACGGATTCCATCACATGCCATTACTTGAGTTGTGAGGCCCTGCCAGCAGAAAAGAAAAAAACGCCACCAATCCGCCAGTCATGAAAAAGTCCGCCACTCTTTTGCCCGGTGTTGGCATGTCTTGTGCCCGCGGCTGTGGAGTTTCGATGCCAGTTTCAGTCAACGCCCCCCCCCGTTCTTTGCCACCCGACGCTTGCATCCTGCAGGACCCCGCTTTCGCTCTGCTTTCCTCAACGGGTTTGCTGTCCGTTGTTTTGCATGCGTTTGCACTGGTGTATTGTAAGGTTCGCAATGGGCTGGCTGAAAGATTAGTGTACTGCGTTCTGCTACATGCATGGTTTGGGTCTGGTCTGACTCGTCGTGCTTAGCAGCATATTGTTAGACACTGCAGAACAGTGGGATGAATCTCATTGTACATGTGTCTCCTGTTAGGCTTTGCCGACAGTGTTATTGTGCGCGATGTGGTTTCCAGGGGGGGTCTCCAGGGTTACTATGGTTCCTCGCTTGGGTTCTTTGCTTAGGTTCGTCGGGGTTCCTTGCTTGGGTTCCTCGAGGGCCCCCTTGCGATGCCAAGCAACGCCAAGCAATGGCAAGCAATGCAACACACAGCAATGCCAAGCAATGCCAAGCGATCCCAAGCAACGATTCCAAGCAATGGCAAGCAACGCCAAGCAGTGTTAAGCCAAGAAATGCCTAGCAATGGTTTGCATTGAATTGCGTTGCATTCCTCAGAACTGCGCTGAATTAGTGTGAAATATTGTTTCCCGAATTGGGGTCGCGCTGGGTTCATTGCATTGCATTGTTATCATTGTTCTGATGTGGTACGATTTGTTGTGCATTGCATCGCCTTGTGTTGCATCGTTTTCGCCAGCATTGTTTCGCATGGGTATTGCATGGTGCTGCAACGACTCGGTGTGCATTACTTGGTGGTGATGTGTACTGCATCGGTTTGCATTGCAGTGCATGTGCGCCTACTTCAGCTTGAATTATGCTGCTACGCCTTGGTTTGCAGCGCAGTGTTTTGGATTACTTGGCGTTGCATATGCATCCCAGTGCATCATCAGGTATGTGCCACTTTCGTTGCAGTGCGTTTCCTAGAGTTGCAATCCGAAGCAAGTCAACGTCGTGGCATGTGGCAGCTTGTTTCAAGAAAATCTAGACTTAGGGGCGCTTGCTCGAAGCAGCAGCCTGTCGTTCTCACCATGTTTAGCCCGAGTTGGGTTTGTCTTGAATCAGGGGAAAGAGGTAGTGTTGTATACATGAGACGGCGTTATTGAATTTACCCTTGTTTCTAGGACTCTAGCTTCTCTTCTGCAGCATCAGCCTTGCGCGGCCCCCAGCCACAGTGTATATGAAGCAATGCGACACCTCTTGAAGATCAGATAGTATGCACAACGCAGTTACCATCGGTTACCGCCCAAACGCAGCACGCTTTGAGGCTAGCGCAGGAAAGCTGGACAAGGATTTTTGATCCAAGGGCCAGACCCAAGTTAATTCTTATTCTCGAGGGGCGGGGTGATTAGATGGCCCACGATTTTCGCATTGTGCGCTTCCCACCACTTGCGAATCCTCAGACCCCGTCCGACAATCCTTCCCCAAATGCTCCCGCCGTTCGCCGGCATTGTGGTTCCAGCCTTTCTGGCGCGGGCTGCCCGTCAAGATGGCGCGACGCCGGCGGCGGCAGCCGTCGAGCAGCTGCGCGACGGCCCGGCCGAGCCGTTGGCGGTAGAGGTGCAGCCTCGCACGCCTTGAGGCGAGCTCAGGCCATGCGGCGTGGGATGATGCTGCGGACAGGACCCGACGTCGCGAGCGCGCCGGGCGCCGACGCCTGCCCGGCGCGCGCTGCGGCGGCCGGCCGGCATCCGATCTCCGCGCTCCTGTTGGTCGGCCGAGGCACCTCTGGGGAGCTACCAGAGAGCCAGGCGCCCCGATGCCTGCATGACGGAGCCCCGCTCAGCCTCCAGCCCGCGGGGGATCCGCAGGGCCCGCCCCGCGCCGGCGTGGGCCCCGCGGCGCCCGAGGCCCTGGCGGCGCTGGGAGCGGCGCCGGAGGCGCCGCAGCCGGTGGCGGTCGGCTCCATGGCGGAGTTCCGGCCAGACATGCCAGCCGCTCCAGGCAGTGCGCGCGTGGTCGCGCCGCCAGAGCAGCTGCGGGCAGGGCGCTCCCCGCGCAAGGCGCCGGCGCTGGCCTCGGCTGCGCGACCCGGCGCGTCGCCGGGGCCGTCGTTGCTGGTGGCCCCGGCGGCCTTGCGGGGCACCGAGGGGCACCCCGCAGGCGAGGCGGCGGGGGCGCCGACGGCGCGTGGCGCCCCAGGCGGGAGGCCTGGGACGACACCGACGACGCGAAGGGCCCCGTCGAAGACGACAGCGCCACACGACCAGCTGCTAGACTCCGCCGGGACGGCGAAGCTGCCGGGCCCGACAGTGGCGTTACCGTCGCAGGCGAAGCCAGATCCGGCACAGGCGGCGGCGTCGCTATCGCCCGCCAGGGCCAGCCTGCCTGGGCCGGACCAGCAGGGCGCGGTCGCCGTCATCCGCCAGGGCCAGCCCGCCTGGGCCAGCCGCTCACCAGAGCGCAAGCGGGGGTCTGCCCCGCTGGCCGGCAAGAGGCTCGTCGAGAAGCGCCTTGCCACGGAGGCCCCCCGCGACGCAGCAGACGCTGCCGCCGATCCTGCCCAGGCGGCGCCTCGTGGCGTCTACACGCGCGTGTTCCCGACTTCGTGGAACCACACCAGCAGGCCGAGGCCCTCACTCGCGCGCGAGGGCTCCTTGGAGACCGCCGCGCCCGTCATGGAGACCACGGATCCCTGGAGCACGGTCAGGATGAGCGACTATAGCATCGAACAGTTGCCCGCCAGCCTCCAGCACCCCTCCTCGTCGTCGCGCGCCTCCCCAGAGTCGACCTGCTCGACGATGGAGCCCAGATTCCTCGTCTCGCCCCAGGACTGGCCGGAGGCCGTGGTCGCGCGGGCGGGCGGCGCGGTGATTTCTCCGGCCCGCGGCAGCGCCAGCTCGGCCGAGGGCGAGCTGGTCTGCATAGGCGCCCCGACGGGCCCCCCGGGCGGCGCGCGGAGGCCTGGCACGTCGCCGGCCGCTCCGCGAGCGCGCCCGAGGTCACCCGCGCGGGCGGGCGGCGGGGTGACTTCTCCGGCCCGCTGCAGCGCCAGCTCGGCCGAGGGCGAGCTGGTCTGCATAGGCGCCCCGACGGGCCCCCCGGCCGGCGCGCCGAGGCCCGGCACGTCGCCCGCCGCTCCGCGGGCGCGCCCGAGGTCGCCCGCGCGGGCCGCGCCTCCGGCGGCGCCCGCGGCCCCCGAGGCCACCGCGGGGATGCCGCGGCACACCCGGAGGTTCCTGGGCTCGAAGGACCCGCCCCGCGGCGCCGCCGCGGCCGAGGCGCAGGGCTGCCGCGACGGCGCCGCAGAGGCCCACGCGCAGCACGCCGGCCTGCGGCCGCCGCGGCGCCAGCGGGCGGGCCCGCGGCGCGCGGCCGGCGCGGCAGAGGGCGCCGCGGGCGGCGCGGCGGCGGACCCCCACGCGCGAGGGGGCAGCCCCCGCGCGGGCCGCTCGCGGCAGGCGTCCCCGCGGGTCACCTCCCCGCAGGGCCAGCGGGGCCTGAGGCTGGTCCTGCCCGGCGCCCGGGAGGGCGGGCGCAGCCCCTCGCCCATGGCGGTCTTCGCGGCCGCGGGCGCGGTGAGCCCGAGGCCGTGGTTCCCGCCCGGGGAGGGGCCCTGCAGCCCGAGGTCCATCACCGCCGAGCTGGCCAGCGAGGGCTCCGCGCTCGGGGGCTCCATCCGGCTGGAGGCGTCGGCTGAGGGCGAGGGGCTCCAGCCCGCGCCGGGGCCCTGGTCCAGGGCGACCACGCAGAGGTCCATCGCGGAGGGGGCGCCCACGGCCGGGGTGCAGAGGTCGGTGCGGCTGCTGCAGGCGCTGCACGCCATGCGCCGCCTGGCGGGCGACGAAGACGAGGGCGGCGAAGGGGACGCGGAGGGCTGCCTTCTGAACAACACGCTCCTGAACACCGAGGACTCTTCCGAGCAGCTGTGGCAACAGGAGGAGCAGATGGTCAAGCATGTGGGCTTCACTGCCGAGGCTGGGGGCGCGAGGCACGCCTCGCAGGCCGTGACGTGCCGGGTGCTGGAGATCGTCCGGCGGAAGAGGCAGCTGTTGCAGACGGTGGAGGCCCGCACCCAGCTGTTCGAGGCGGAGGTCGCGCGCAAGGGCGACCTGCTGCGCGAGGTGGTGGCCGGAACGCTCGAGAGCCCACCGGAGCTGATGAGGCTGGAGGACTTTCTCGAGTCGGTCACGCACCCCGGGGAGCTGGCTGAGGCAAACAGGGCCGACTTCAGCCTCTTCGCCTCCACGTTCAGGCTGCCAGCGGATCACGGCACCCTGGTGCGCCTGCGGGAGCAGCGGGGCGAGATGGCCCTCTGGTGGGCGGAGTCCTGCATGGCGGAGGCGGCGAAGGGCACGGACTACGCCGCTCTCAAGACCATGCGCGACATCGCGATGATGGCGGGGCTCGACAGGGACCACTTCCTCTCCTTCCGGATGAAGCGCGTCCTGATCGACCGCGTCGCAGACTGGGCGGTGGAGCAGGCCGAGCTGGCCCGCCAGCACGCGGACGCCCCGGGCACCACGCTGGCCGCGGACGCGAGGAAGGTGGAGGACACCATCGAGAGCGCCGTCAAGGAGGGCGTGCCGGAGTCGGACCCCCGGATCCGCCAGGCTTGGGCGGGTGGTAATGGTCTAGAGGCCTCCCAGATGGGGTCGGAGCAGAGGGGGTCGGAGGATCGCGCCGCATCGCCGATGCATCGACGATGCGGGTCGATGTGGAGCCCGTGTTTCCCCACACGGACGTCGCGCCGCTGCATCGCCGACGTCGCCGATGCATCACCGATGCATCGGCGATGCAGTACAATCCTCCGACCCCATCTACTCGGACCCCATGCAGGAGGCCTCTACATGGGGGGGGGAGAAGAAGAGGGCGCCGTGAGGGCCCTCTTCTACACCCCCCATCTGTAGGGCACCCCCACTACTATCACCGAACGCGCTCGGCTGTACGGTGCGGGCGTTGGTGAAGGAATGTGCACAGGAGGCTTCAGACCCTGGAGAATTCCTCATACCTGATGAGGGCGGCGGCGATGCCCACTGCCGATGCGCAATTGAGGTTCCGCGGGCTTCCAGACTCTGGATTCTTGGTCCAAGTTTCCTTATCCAGCGCCCCCGCCGTACTGACCCGGGGACCTTTTCCCTGGGACCGGTGTTTCATCCCGAGTCGTTTCTTGACGGCCCCGAGGCCCGGCGAGGGCTCCCCGAGGTCGAAAACTGGCAAAAACCTCCGTAGAAGACGTGCCGACCTCCGCGCGGGAGGAGCCATGTGCAGGGGCAGAAGAGTGTACCAAACCACGACAAAGATGACACCTATGCACCATCACGGCGAAGCAGTAGCACAGGGAGTACAAAAAGTTCAAAAAGTTGTAGCACAGAAAGTACATAATGCAATAAATTATAGAAGACTCGGGGGGCCGAAGCCCCAGGTGCGGCCCGAAGCCGCTGGCCGCTCCGGTGCCGGCTCCAGGGTATTGGAATGCGCCCAGGAGGCTGCAGACCCTGGAGGATTCCTTATCTGATGAGGGCGGCTGTGCTATCCATGGCCAAGCCTCGACTGGAGTCCCACCGGCCTGTTGACCATGGATTCCTTATCTGAGGATGCGCTTCTCGAGTCCTATGCATTGGCACGGGTCTCGGCTCTCGAAGTGAGAGGAAAAATGCCCCCACCGTACAGGGTTCGGCTTGAGTAGTTGAACAAGGAGCACTTGCTTTTCAAAAGGGGCTCGCTCGTCCCTCTGGCTTGCATGCGTTCCGCTGCCCTTTTTGGGCGGCGAGCCCCCCTGGCGTTCCTCCGGTCTTCCTGGACGCACTTGGAGAAAACGGGGGCGTCGTTCCTCACGTATCGCTCCTGAGGTCGGGCCGACTGCTGTACTGACCCGCCCGCCCCAGACCCCCGACGTCATGTCTTTTGCATCACGTCGACCTCGAACGAGGGTTTGTTTGCAATCCTAGGTTTTTTTTTGCAATCCTTCGTTTTTACCTAACAGCGAAGACTGATAGGTTTCTAGTGGTCTAAAAAGAGAGCAGCGCATTACTCCACAGGGGGGTCTGGGCAGCCGTTGGGGGGCCGTTGGGGTTTTCCGGGGGGGGATCGTTTTTCGCATACAGTCACACACTTCGTGCTCTTCGACCTCCCAGAACTCCATTCCCGGGCCACATTCTGAATGCCCGGAGCCAACTGTAGGCCACTTCGTGCTCTTCGACTTCCCAGAACTCCATTCCCGGGCCACATTTTGAATGCCCGGAGCCAACTGTAGGCCACTTCGTGGTCTTCGAGTTCCCAGAACTCCATTCCCGGGCCACATTTTGGATGCCCGGAGCCAACTGTAGGCCACTTCGTGGTGTTCGAGTTCCCAGAACTCCATTCCTGGGCATGATTTTGAATGCCCGGAGCCAACCGTAGGCGATTTCGTGTTCTTCGAGTTCCCAGAACTCCATTCCCGGGCCACACTTTGAATGCTGAGGCAGGCTGATGCTGAGGCTGAGGCAGGCTGAGGCTGAAGGCAGACTGAAGCTGAGGACGAGGCTGAAGGCAGACTGAGGCTGAGGCTGAAGCAGGCTGAGGCTGAGGCTGAGGCAGGCTGAGGCTGAGGCTGAGGCAGGCTGATGCTGAGGCAGGCTGAGGCTGAGGCTGATGCAGGCTGAGGCTGAGGCAGGCTGAGGCTGAGGCCGAGGCTGAAGGCAGACTGAGGCTGAGGCTGAAGCAGGCTGAGGCTGAGGCTGCGGCAGGCTGAGGCTGAGGCTGATGGCAGGCTGATGCTGAGGCAGGCTGAGGCTGAGGCTGAGGCTGATGCAGGCTGAGGCTGAGGCAGGCTGAGGCTGAGGCCAAGGCTGAAGGCAGACTGAGGCTGAGGCTGAAGCAGGCTGAGGCTGAGGCTGAGGCAGGCTGAGGCTGAGGCTGAGGCAGGCTGATGCTGAGGCAGGCTGAGGCTGAGGCTGAGGCTGATGCAGGCTGAGGCTGAGGCAGCCTGAGGCTGAGCGAGGCTGAAGGCAGACTGAGGCTGAGGCTGAAGCAGGCTGAGGCTGAGGCTGAGGCAGGCTGAGGCTGAGGCTGAGGCAGGCTGATGCTGAGGCAGGCTGAGGCTGAGGCTGAGGCTGATGCAGGGTGAGGCTGAGGCAGGCTGAGGCCGAGGCTGAAGGCAGACTGATGTTGAGGCTGAAGCAGGCTGAGGGCGAGGCTGAGGCAGGCTGAGGCTGAATGCAGGCTGAGGGTGAGGCTGAGGCAGGCTGAGGCCGAGGCTGAAGGCAGACTGATGTTGAGGCTGAAGCAGGCTGAGGGCGAGGCTGAGGCAGGCTGAGGCTGAGGCAGGCTGAGGCTGAGGCTGAGGCAGGCTGAGGCTGAGGGCTGTGACTGCGACTGCTGTTGCCACTGCGACTGCCATCGCGAATGCGACCACGACTGCGAGAACAGCAGAATTCTACAACAGGATTCTTATCTGAATCTTAAGGGGAATGCTTCCAGATATGCTCCTACACATCGCTGTTAGGTTGCTTTGCCGGGATAATTTTGCAATCCTGAGGTCTCGACCCGTTCCCCTGGATCGGTGTTGTCACCCCGGGTCGTTGTCTGACGGCCCCGCGGCCCGGCGAGGGCACCTGGAGGCCGAAGATGGCGAAAAGCCTCCTCCCGGCATGATTTTGTTCATGGCCCGAGGGGGTCTGGGGAGGAGGAGGTGGAGGAGGAGGAGGAGGAGGAGAAAGAGGAGGTGGGTGAGGAGGAGGAGGAGCGAGGAGGAGGTGGGTGAGGAGGAGGAGGAGGAGGAGGACGAGGAGGAGGAGAAGGAGGAGGGAGGAGCAGGAGGGGGCCCGCCAGGCGCGCGCGGCGATGAAGGCCATCCGCGACGCCGACTTCGCGCGGCGGCGGCGCGAGCAGGCCGAGCAGCGGCGGCAGCGCGGCGCGCTCGCCTGAGGGGGCACGGCGCTCGCGCGGCCCGCGCGGCCCGCGGCCGCGCCGCCGCGCCGCGGCGATGCTGCGCTCGGGGAGGATCCTGCCTCGCTCCTCCTGCCTCGCTCCTCCTCCTGCCTCATCCCTTCTCCTTCCTCCTCCCTCCTCCCTCCTCCCTGCCTCCTCCCTGCCTCGGGGTCACGGGGGGGGGAGGCCCTCCTCCTCTCTCCTTCTAGGCCGCCGCCGTGGCGAGCGAGAGGGGATCGAAGCGAACGTAGTTTCTCATGCTCTCGACCCGTCGTGTGCATGGCGGCGCCGCCACAGAACTGCCTCTGTGGCGGGGGGACCCCCTGGTCTCATGATGCTCCAACCTGCTTTAGCTTTGATCACCAGGAAGAGTTTCGAGCGCCCAGAAAAGTACCAAAACTCTAGGGTTTTCACGTGCCGGGCCCTGGGGGGCACTGTTTCGACACTGTTTCGACACTCTTTTGACACTTTTCTGGGTGCTCGAAATTATTTCTGGAATGCGGTCCTTAAGTAGGACGGGAACAACATAACCCCAGTCGAAGGTCTGGAGGCCTCTGGCCCCCAGACCTTCGACTGGGGGCCTCCGACCCTCGAAGGCAAGACCGTTTTTGGCACGCCTGGAGCGCCGATGGTCCATGCCTTCGCGGAGGCTCCCAGGCGAATGCGTGCAGCTCTCGACCCCTTCCCCGGCACCGGTTTTTCATCCCGGGTCGAGGTTTGACGGTCCCGAGGGCCTGCGAGGACCCCCCCCCGAGGCCGCACATGGCGGGAAGCCTCCCGTCGTGATTGTTTCTCCGCAGCGCGAAGGGGTCTCGAGCAGGGGATCGGCTACAGAATTGATTTGCCCCAGACTTGATGTTCCTTGCCGACTCCACGGGCCAATCCCGCAGAACTTTCGCAGATCTCTACGACTGGTCGACGTGATCTGTGTTTGAAGAGTCGACGTGGAACTCAATTGTTGACGCTTCGCGAATCCCCACCAGCCCATCCAGAAACGATGCCCAAAGGAATTGCCTCGATCAGGGAAGTGGGCAGCACGCAGAGGAAGCCATTATGAGACATCTTGGGATATCTTGAGCCATCTTGGAGGTCACTGTGGGCTCTCCCAGGCGCTCTTGGAGTCATCTTAATCAGTGCCCCCCCAACAGGCCAACATGTGGCTAAAACCTTCGTAATATCAATGATTTGGCATTCTCGCCGAGGCCTCTTGGAGCATCTTGGGTGCCTCTGGGGGGTCTCTTGGGGCCTCTTGGGGGTCTCTTGGGAGCCTCTTGGGGGCATCCTGGGGGCCTCTTGGGGCTTCCTGGCCACATCTTGGGGCCCTCTTGGGGCACCCTTGGAAGCCTTGGGGGCCATCTTTGGGCGAGGCCAAAATGGAGCCAAAACCCTAGTAAAACCAATGATTTTGGCTTCCTCGCCGAGGCCATTTTGGACGCCCTGACACCTCGCGACCCCCCCCGTCCAGGTCCAGGGGAGGGGGTAGGGGGAGGGGTAAACCCCTCCCCGAAAGGGAAGAAGGAGGGGTGGAAGAGGAAACTCTCTAAACCACCGACGCCCAGAGGGCTGCTCTCCACGCCGATGGCGCCGATGCCTCGCCGATGCGTCGCCGATGCGCGATCTTCCGGCCCCATCTACTCGGACCCCATCTAGGGGGCCTCTACTGTAGTGTTTTCCCCTGGGCCATCCAGCCCCCCTCCGTCGCCCCCGAGGCAGCGGGAGTCGTGGGGCGGGGGGTTGTGCGCCCAGCCGCGTGCAGCTCCTGTGGCGCGGCAGCCCGAGCCGTGCGGGTGCTGCGCCGCCTCACGCGCCCCAGTCTCTCTCTCTAGGAGGAGGGTGCCGGCCGAAGGATCGGGGCTATGGCGTTACGTCGGGCGCGTCCCTCCTATACAGGAGGGACATCCAAAAATAGTCAAACAAAATAGTCTGGGCACGATTTTTGTTAAATATGGCCAAATGGTTAGACTATGTTTGGCAAGGTTTTGGGCGATGTGTTGAGTTTATTTTACTTGTCGTCGAAAGTGTTGGGGACGATTTTGTCGACTCTGTTTGGCTATGGTTGAGCATTTTATGGGTGTGCTTTCTTCGTCGTCGAAAAGTTCGGCCTCGAGGTGGGCACGCCCGACCAAAGGCTGGCGCGGAGAGGGCGAGGCCTCGTAAGAGGCGGGGCGCAGAAGCAGCGGCACCGCAAGCAACCAGCAGAAGCCCGAGAGGCCCAGAGGAGCCCCTGGGATTCAGTCGGGCGTGTCCTTCTACAGGAGGAAATCCCACAAAAACAGTATTTGAATAGTCTGGGGACGATTGTTTGACTATTGTTGACCATTTTGGCATTAAGGTGGACACGTCCGACCTAAGGCTGGGGCGGAGAGGGCGAGGCCTCGTAAGAGGCGGGGAGCAAGCCGTGGCATAGTAAGCCACCAACAGAAGCCCGAGAAACCCAGAGAAGCCCCTGGGATTCAGTCGGGCGTGTCCTTCTACACGAGGAATATCCCACAAAACAATTTTAGGATAATCTTGGGACGATTGTTTGACTATTGTTGGCCATGTTGGCCTTAAGGTGGACACGTCCGACCTAAGGCTGGCGCGGAGAGGGCGAGGCCTCGCAAGAGGCGGGGACCCAGCAGTGGCATCGTAAGCCACCAACAGAAGCCCGAGAGGCGCAGAGGAGCCCCTGGGATTCAGTCGGGCGTGTCCCTGTACAGGAGGAATGTCAAAACTTCGTTTTTGAATAGTCTGGGGACGATTGTTTGACTATTGCTGACCATTTTGGCACTAAGGTGGGCACTAAAGCTGGCGCGGAGAGGGCGAGGCCTCGTAAGAGGCGGGGACCAAGCAGTGGCATCGTAAGCCACCAACAGAAGCCCGAGAGGCCCAGAGGAGCCCCTGGGATTCAGTCGGGCGTGACCCTCTACAGGAGGAGTATCCCACACAAACAGTTTTAGAATAGTCTGGGGACGATTGTTAGACTGTTGTTGACCTCTTTGGCCTTAAGATGGACACGTCCGACCTAAGGCTGGCGCGGAGAAGGCGAGGCCTCGTAAGAGGCGGGGAGCAAGCAGTGACATAGTATGCCACCAACAGAAGCCTCAGGGGCCCAGAGAGGCCCATGGGATTCAGTCCGGCGTGTCCCTCTACAGGAGGAATATCCAAAAAATAGTTGTAAAATCGTCTGGGGACGATTGTTTGACTGGCGCGGAGAGGGCGAAGCTTCGTAAGCGGCGGGGACCAAGCAGTGGCATCGTAAGTCACCAACAGAAGCCCGAGAGGCCCAGAGGAGCCCCTGGGATTCAGTCGGGCGTGTCCCTGTACAGGAGGAATATCAAAACATTGTTTTGCTATAGAGAGCGCGGCGATCCCACACCAAAAATCGATGGACATCCTGGGGTCTCAGGGTTGGGTTTCCTGTGGAAGGTTTCTTGTGGAAGGGTTATTGTGGACGGGCCTCCACTATATCCACTGCATCAAGCGTCAAGGTGTCATTATGCTGTGGTTTGCTGCTCTCTGGGCGGTCTTATCCGCCTTCGTGTTTCTGCCTTTCAGTCGGGCGTGTCCCTCTACAGAAGGGATTTGCAAACATAGGTATAAAAGATAGTCTGGGGACGATGCTTTGACTATTGTTGACCATGTTGGAGTATTGCTTCGCTATGCTTTATTTTTCGTCCAGAATCCGCCTGTACGGGGGACATGCCCGACCTAACTTTTATTGAATCGCCTCGCTCATTCCGCTGGCCCTGGAGCCCTCTTTAGGGCATCTTGGGGGCCTTTTGGGGACCTCTTTGGAGTCTCTTGGGGCTCCTTGGCGGCGTCTTGGGGGCCCCCAGGGCCTCTTGGGGGCTATTGGGGGCCTCTTGGGGCGGGAGGGGGGGTAGTCGATTGCGGCTCCCCCCTCGGAGGCCACGATCCTCGTGAGGGGTGTCGAAAAATTGCCCAGTCTTGCATCTCTGACCCGGACCTGCCGGGACCTTGCCGAGACTTTGCCGGGGTACTTTTCGCCCGGAGACCCCCAGAGGCCGCCCCGCGCGCGCGAACTAGAATATTGTTAACCAGTTACCGGAGATCTTAGCACGCCCTTGGCCCGTTGGGCCGGCGAATTTTTCGTCCAAAACCCGCCTGTATGGGGGACATGCCCGACCTAACCCTAGGAGAGCCCAACACGTCCCGAGCATCGCCCCAGAAGACCTTAGCTGGCCTCCAGAGCCAGGTGATCACAAGCGTGGATCAAGGGGGCGTGGATTAGCAACGGGTCTAGCTTCCAGGGGAAATCGCGGATTTCCGCCGCCGAACGAAGCGGCACCGGCCGCATTTCGGGGAGGACACCTCTCCCGATCCATGAATTTGGCGACGGCGCGCAAAATCCATGGATCGCTAATCCATGTTTGCGCGCCCCCGACAAAGTGGCCCGAAGACGGCTCCAACACGGCCCAAGATTGCCTCAAGATGGCCTTGGGGATCCCATCGACAGTCGCCAGAATTCCAAAGAGGCCCACGAGGCGCCCAAGGACCCCAGCATACAGAGGAAACCCATGCCAAGAAACACCCTGCTTGCCTCCAGGGTGCCCTGGGTCTCTTGGGTTTCGATGGTCCTGCTATGGAAGGCGCGGCGTTCCCACACCAAAGATCGATGGACGTCCTGGGATCTCAGGGTTTGGCCTTTACTATATCCATCGGTCGTTGAAAGTCGGCACCTCTGGATCCCCAGACCCTCCTCTACTTCAAGCGCCCTCCCACTTCCAGAATCGAGGTGTCGTTGCTATGCTTTGCTACTCTCTGGGCGGGCCCGAGCCCAATCTACCTCATCCGCCTTCATGTTTCTACCTTTGAAGTCGGGCGTGTCCCTCTACAGGAGGAACATTCAAAAATAATCCAAACATAGTCGGTGGACGATGTTTGTTTACTATTCTTGGCAATTTCTTGAATATGGTTTGAATATTTTCACTCTTCGTCCCAACCCGCCCGTAGGGGACACGCCCGACCTAATTCTACCTACTGCTTCCGACCGGCTTGTAACCTTTGGGAGGTCCGCGCGGGTTTCACCGATCGGCGCGGAGCCCCCCCCGCGGCGCCTCTGGCGCCGCCCTTGGCGCGCTCCGCCAGGGACGGGGGCCCCCAAACGGGGTGGTGACCACACCGTGTGGTGAGTCGGTGGGGATTCTCCTCCTCCTCCTCCTCCTCCTCCTCCTCCTCTCCTCCTCCTCCTCCTCCTCCTCCTCCTCTCCTCCTCCTCCTCCTCCTTCCTTTCTGCTCCTCTTCACCTCCTTCTCATTCCTCCTCCTCCTCCTCTCCTCCCCTCCTCCTCCCCTCCTCCTCTCCTCCTCCTCCTCCTCCTCCCTCCTCCTCCTCTTTTCTCCTTCTCTTCCCCTCCCTCCTGTTCCTCCTCCTCCCTTTCCTCCCTTCCTCCTCCTCCTCCTCCCTTTCCGCCTCCTCCTCCTCCTCCTCCTCCTCCTCCTCCTCATCCTCCTCCTCCTCATCCTCCTCCTCCTCACCGCACAGTTTGGAGACTTGGGTCGTGCTCCGAGGATGTCTCGGGCGGCTGGAGCCTCCAGGGCCCCACAGAACCGCGCGGTGACGGGCCGTGCGGTGAGGCCTGTCTGCGCGGATGTCGAGGCTCCCGCCGGGTCCGTCACCGCACGGATTTTTGGACCTCCAAGCGACAGGGTCCCGCACCGATCCGAGGAATCCGCGCGGACCTTCAGAAGTCTGTGTTTATGCGACTGTGCGTTCCTCAAATGTTGAGCCGGGCATGGTCGTCGTTTTCTGATTCATCGCTCTGCCGATCGGCGCGGGCCCTCGCACCCCCCCCCCTCCCCCCCCCAAGGGTGTAGATCTTGGCTGTTGTTTGCGCCTGTTTCGATCAGGTGGGGTCTCTCTCCCCCATGGGACGCACTGTTGCAAACAGTCGCACCAAGCAGAGGTCCAGAGCCAGACCCCCCCTCATCCGCCCAAAGTCGAAACGCCGAGTAAGAAAACGCTCACCACCGATCCGAGAAATCCGCGTGGACCTTCAAACGTTTGCGTTTATGTGACGGTCTGTTCCTCTATAGTTGAGTCGGGCATGTCCCTCTACAGGAAGAAAATTCGAAAATCGGCAAGAAAGCAAATGTCTGGGGACGATTTTCGAGTATTGGATGGCTGTGCTTGCATATGTGTTGGCCAGTTCTCAATTGTCTTCCAAAACCCGCCTGTAGGAGGACATGCCCGACCTAACTCTAGAGAGGCCAAGGTGCCCCCCTTCCCAGCAACCGGCGCGGCCTCCGTCGCCTGTCGCTCACACAGTGGAGGCCCATGCCAAGGAGCACCCTGCTTATGCCTCCAGGGTGCCCTGGGTTTCTTAGGTGTCGATGGTTTTGCTCTGGGAAGCGCGGCGTTCCCACACCAAAAATCCATGGACGTCCTGGGGTCTCAGGGTTGGGTTTCTTGTGGAGGGTTTCCTGTGGAGTGGCCTCCACTGTATAACTCATACGCGGCACCAGGGGAGCGGCAACCAGTGCCACGACGCGGAAGCATCGCGTTCCTGGCTTTTTCCAGCGCCTCCTCCGTTTCACCTACAGTCGGACCTGGGCCAGAAGAGCATCTTTCAAGAACATGAGACCTTCCGCCGGCCAAAACAAACAGACCATCCAAGGGCGCTAAGGGCCCCCCCCCCGACGTTTACTACTCGAAACAAGCACGAAGGACACTATAGGGCCCCCCCACGACCTTTACTACTCGATCTCTTATGCCCCGGTCCGACTGTAACCATAGACGCTTGGGCCGCTTCACTGGCAGACGCCTGGGCTGTTGCGGGATGCGCTCGTCGCTCTCGCCCTCCCTCCCTCTATCGAGTTTGGCGGCGCGCACAAGGGGGTGGAGAGAGGGGGAGGGCTTCTTGGAAGGAGGCTGCTTCTTAGAAGGCTCCGGCCCTGCATCTATAGAAACGGCCCGCGCCTTCTGAGAAGCAGGGGCGTTCCTGAGAAGCCCTCCCCCCTCCCCCCCACCCCCCTCTGCGCGTGGCCGACGAGCGCCGCAGGCGGTCCCTGCCGCTCCCCCCCCCCCGAGGCCCCGTGCCGCATCTCGCCCCACGCCGCCCCGGGAAGCGTCGCGGCCCGCCGGCAGACTTTTGGCGCTCCGCGCGGCTTTCTTGGATCCGCGCCTGGGCCCCCCCGGCGGCGCCTCCAGCGCCGCCCCTGGCGCGCTCCGCGCGCCAGGGATGGGGTCCAGCGCGAATCCAAGAAACCCGCGCGGAGCGCCAAAAGTACATGTTTTATATGTTTTTCCCCGCCATCCTGTGGTGTTGGGTCCTCGTTTTGCAGCGGCCCGCGTCTCCTCTCCTCCACTCCTCTCCTCCTCCTACCCCTCCTCCCCCTCCTCCCTCCTCCCATCCGCCTCGACACCTCCCTGCGTTTCACCCACCCATGACAACGTTCCGTGGCCCCATGCGCAGGGAGCTCCACCGAAGGCTCCAGGGGCCCAGTTCTGCACACCCCTCACAAGGATCGTGGCCCCATAGGGAGCTCCACCGAAGGCCCCAGCGGCAGGGTTCGCATGCGTCCCCCCGCCCATCCCCTCAGACGGTTCGTGGCCCCATAGGGAGCTCCACCGAAAGCCCCAGCGGCAGGGTTTGCATGCGTCCCACCGCCCAGTTCGGCACACCCCTCACAAGGATCGTGGCCCCATAGGGAGCTCCACCGAAGGCCCCAGCGGCAGGGTTCGCATGCGTCCCCCCGCCCAATTCGGCACACCCCTCACACGCTTCGTGGCCCCATTGAGGGCTCCACCGAAGGTCCCAGCGGCAGGGTTCGCATGCGTCCCCCCGCCCATTTCGGCACACCCCTCACACGGTTCGTGGCCCCATAGCGAGGTCCACCGAAGGCCCCAGCGGCAGGGTTCGCAGGCGCCCCCCCGCCCATTTCGGCACACCCCTCACGAGAACCGTGCCCCTCTAGGGAGCTCCACCGAAGGCAAGGCCCCAGCGGCAGGGTTTGCATGCGTCCCCCGACCCAGCGGCAGGGTTTGCATGCGTCCCCCCGCCCAATTCGGCACACCCCTCACAAGGATCGCGGCCCCATAGGGAGCTCCACCGAAGGCCCCAGCGGCAGGGTTTGCCTGCGTCCCCCCGCCCATTTCGGTACACCCATCACGAGGATCGTGGCCCCATTGGGAGCTCCACCGAAGGCCCCAGCGGCAGGGTTTGCATGCGTTCCCCCTCCCATGTCGGTACACCCATCACGAGGATCGCGGCCCCATAGGTAGCTCCACCGAAGGCCCCAGCAGAAGGGTTTGCATGCGTCCTCCCGCCCATGTCGGCACATCCCGCCCGAGGATCGTGGCCCCATAGGTAACTCCACCGAAGGCCCCAGCGGCAGAGTTTGCATGCGTCCTCCCGCCCATGTCAGCACACCCCTCACGAGGATAGTGGCCCCATAGGGGTATCCGCCGAGAGCGGTACCCACAACGCGGTATTCACAGTTGCGTATGGTTGGGTTATTCGCCCGGATATTGTTCTACTTCTGAAGAAACCCCCTTCTTATGCCTTCAGGGTGCCCTGGGTTTCTTGGGCTTCGATAGTTATGCTCTGCGAAGCGTGACGGCCCCACACCAAAAGTCCATGGACTTCCTGGGGTCTGAGGGTTGGGTTTCTTGTGGAAGGTTTCTTGTGGACGGGCCCCTACTGTAGGCCTCCCACATGAGCGACGCAAAAAAACAGGGTCGTCTTCGCCGACGTTGGCGCGTAAGCTGCCCGCGCAAGGTCGCGCGTGAGCGCCCTCGTCTCCAACGTGGCTTGCCGCGCCAGCGGCCCGCGTAAGCTGCGGCGTGAGGTTGCTGTGCCATCTCGCGTAAGACTCGTTTTTGATCCTCGCTCAAATGCGGTCCAAGTAGGCTCGGGGAAACGTAAGACTCGGGTACGCCGGAACGCGGGTTTGCCGACACTTTTTGACGAGCGCGTCGCGGATGTTGACGGTCTAGTTTTCGTGGGACGTTTGCAGCGGGAATTCGCGTCAACTTTCAGGTCGGGTCTCGTCATGTTCATGATGGCCCCGTCAGGCAAACCCGAGTCCCCCGAGCCCGAGCCTCACGCCTCCCCGGCAGTTTGGGTCCAAGGACCGCCGCTGCGGAGCCCGACTTTCGCCACGCCGACATCGCCAAAGCATCGACGGTGTCGACGATGCATCGGCGATGCATCGGCGATGCATCGGCGATGCGGCGCGATCCTCCGACCCCGTCGGCTCGGGCACCCGTCTGTGGCCCAAAGGCTCGTGCTGTGCGGCCGGCTCGCCTCGTGCTTCGGCCCCGGCGGCGACCCCGGCCCGGGCCGTTCAGGAGTGGAACGCCCGCCAGTGGGCCGGAGTCGGCCGATGTCGAACGAGCCGGAGATCGGGAGTGGACAGAACCCCCACCCTGACACGGCGATTGGTGGATTGTCCGTTTTCGGTTCTCGAGAGGGCGCCGCGGCCGTCATTGTCCAGGCTTGCGCCCGCCCTGTTTGGGCCCGAGGTCGTTTTCACTGAGCCACGTTTTACTAAAGGGGGCACTGTTCATCCCCGAGGATAGCACCATCGCGGCATCAACAGAAACTTTTGGCGCTCCGCGCGGATTTCTTGGATCTGCGCTGGGCCCCCCCTGGCGGCGCCACCGGCGCCGCCCCTGGCGCGTTCTGCGCACCAGGGAGGGGGGTCCAGCGCAGATCCAAGAAATCTGCGCGGACCTCCAAAAGTTTATGTTTTTCTGTTCTCTGTTGCTCTACTATGGGCTCCAGAGCTGCGCACATGCAGCGGCACTGCGATAGCAGCGGGAGGAGGAGCAGGAGGAGGAGGTATAACGCAACGATCTCCGATCCATGTCTGCACAAGGTCAAAAAGAAGGAGGAGGAGGAGGAGGAGGAGGAGGAGGAGGACAAGGAAGGGTCTGGAGGTGAGTTGCATCTGGTAAGTTCTAGTTCCGCTCTTGAGACTGACTGACCCCCAGAGGGATCCGCCATCGAGAGCTTGTCGCTGGTCTATCGGCGATGCATCGCCGATTCCAGGTCGACATTTCCCCCCTGAGCCAGTTCCTCCTATCGTTCCCCCTCGCCTGGGTGAGTGGGACGGAGGTTCCCATGTGCGTCCTCCATGGGGGAGCAGCAGGAGGAGGAGGAGGAGGAGGAGGAGGAGGGTGGAGAAGGAGGAGAAGCAGGAGAAGGGGGGCTGGCCCCTAGGGTGGGCATAATGGAGATTCCATTGTTCTTTGTTTCTGGAGGAGCAGCAGGAGGAGGAGGGATGAGAAGGCGGTCGGACGGGGCTAGGGCGAGATTAGATCCGTTCCAGAGCGTTCCGGAACGCTCTCAGAGCGTTCCAGAACGCTCTGGGAAGGCCGCGACGCCCGTCACATCTTCCAGATCCGCCGGATGGCAGAGAGTCTGCATTTATCCTCGCCCAAGTTTGTCTTCGTCTTGGCTTCGTCTTGGGAGAATCGCTCTTTCCGTCCTGCGTCAGTCAGGCGATCGCAAACATGGATTAAGGGGGCGTGGATTAGCGACGGGTCCCGCCTCCACGGGAAATCGCGGATTGTCGCCGCCGAAAGAGGCGGCGCCGGCCGCATTTTGGGGAGGGCACCTCCCCCGATCCATGGATTAGGCGACTGCGCACCAAATGCGCGCCCGCGAGTCTTTGTCTTGGCTTCGTCTCTCGAAGACGAAAAAAAACGACATAGACATAAACTTTTGGCGCTCCGCGCGGTTTTCTTGGACCCGCGCCAGGGAGGGGGTTCCAGCGCGGATCCAAGAAATCCGTGCGGAGCGGCAAAAAAGTGCATGATGATGTGTATTGTGGTTGCTAGTCTTGGGAGGATCTCTCTTCCCTTCCTGCGTCAGGGCCCTCTCCTGCTGGTCGCTGTGCGGGGTCCTCCCGGGGGGGGGGGGAACCGCAGCGCACCCTCTGCCGCCCGCCCCCGCGCTCGGGCATCCGAGCCAGGCGGCGGGCCTCCTCCTCCTCCTTCACCTCCTCCTCCTCCTCCTCCTCCTCCTCCTCCTCCTCCTCCTCCGCCTCCTCCTCTTCCGCCTCCTCCTCCACCTCCTCC